CACAGAGTCACCGCAGTAGACGTTAGATGAGCGCTGTCGCTCTGCGGCACTTGTTATGGTATGCTCTATTTACGCACAGTCATATGATTGAGTGTTGCATAACATTCTTGTTTTCCGTTTATTTGGAGGATAAACAAAGACACCATGTTAAAACTCATCAAGGAAGCACAGCTTGCAATATCCGAAACTGATAATTCAAGCCAGGATGATCACAGACATTCACCAAGTTGCTGGAGTGTTGTCATGACGATGCCAAGCACCACTGCTTCCGTGCCCATCTCTGGGCAGCTTCCTCTGAGTAGAACTGAACCCTATATCGCACCAAGTGATATTCATGTATCACTAAGTACTGCTGCGGAAATGCAATCAGTTACCAAGCCTTTACCAAAGTTAAATAGTCCTGTAGCGGTACCTAGGGAAGAACGCTGCCATACAACTGCCAAGGCTGCATCCACTGCAAATGACATTGTAGTGCCATCTCAGAATGAAGCTGAATTCCTTGGGGATACACTCACAGCCGTCAAATCTTTGCTCACTTCAAATGATACTGCTGCGACACCTTGTAACGAAGTCAAATCCTTGGAGATTATTCAGACAGAATCTTCTGCAGCAAGCGACGCTCAGTCTGCGGATGGTGAGCAATCTGAGAGTGCCGAGCCTGGTGAGCTGACAAATGTGAACAAGCGAACGTGCCACAGTGCAGGAGATTCGACTGCAAGCAGCATTGCTGAGGCAGCAAGTACTGAAGCAGCAATCATAGGTAACACGACAGAGAAAGTGAATATTAGTCTCACAGAAGACTCCGATAACGATGGGGAAAAGTTGCCAGAGGTCAGCAGGGAACAATGTGGAGGGCCTTCGAGTATGGAGTTTTCTCCAAAGGCCAACAGGACAGTGGAACCACCAGCAGAACTCTTCTTGATGAAGTTACTCTCCGATCTGGAAGTGCTGCACACTACGCATCGGAGCATGGACAATAGTCGTGATTTGGCGATGGGTGATGTTCTGTCCACACAGTATGTCGAGGCTGCTCATGACGTTGGCACCACACAAGATGTCCAAACTATTAATAATGTCCACATCACACCAGATAGCCAGGGTACTGGTAATGTCCACATCACAGCAGACAGCCAGGGTACTGGTGATGTCCACATCACACCAGATATCCAGACTACTGATAATGTCCACATCACATCAGATATCCAGACTACTGATAATGTCCACATCACAGCAG